CCCCTCTCCCAAGGTCCCCACTGGAAACTCCAAGGTCGATCATCTTTCTTTTCACATTTAATTGGACAGAGCTTAATCAGCTCCTTTAACCTCATTATGAAAAGCCTGCACTGAGGATGCTTTAACCAGGCTTCGTGCCCATGTGGGCCGCACAGGAAAGTCTGAGAATGACTCTGGATTGGAGGAGGGCCCCTGGAAGAGCTGCAAGGTGGCAGCTCTCATTGCTTCTAGAACATTCCTTCTCAGGACACTGCCCCTTGGGAAGGCTTGCTGGCTGAAAAGTGCAACTTTTACGTAATGTTCATGGAAGAAGCAGGAAGTTATCTTCCGAGGGAAGTGGTCCCCCGGGGAGGACCTAGGAGGCCTGGCGTGGGCGTGGCTGGCATGGGCAGTGGGAGGCTGGGCGTGTTCGTTTCGTGTGGCTGCTATAACAAATTGCTGCAAACTGGGTGGCTTAAAAACACACACGAGTGGGCTTCCCTGGTGGCGCAGTGGTTGAGAGTCCGCCTGTTGATGCAGGGGACGTGGGCTCGTGCCCCGGTCCGGGAAGATCCCACTACTGCGCGTCCGGAGCCTGTGCTCCGCAACGGGAGAGGCCACGACAGTGAGAGGCCCGTGTACCGCAACAAACAAACAAACAAACAAGCAAACGTGATCGCCCAGAAATGATGGGATGTGCACATTTTGATTGCTGTTACGTAAAAGTTTACTGGCGACGGGGCATGGGTTTATACTTACAGGATGTGAGGCACAGGGACACCACGGCCCCTCCATAAGGCAGTGCCCGCCCTGTGAGTTGACCTCAGAGACCATCCAGACAGCTGGTCCTCCGGGAGCTCCTGGCCGTTTCCTGCTGGCCCAGCATTCACCAGAGGGGTCTGGTCCTGTTGGGGGTGGCCTGGAAAGAAGTGACAACCAAAGGGCAATGCCCAAGGCGGTGGCTGTCACTCTGAATTCACTTGTGCCAAGAGTTCACCTTCTTATTATCAACGTCATAGATGCTTTTTCGGTGACCACTACGTGCCAAGCACCGCTCCATGCACAGGACACGGTGCTTCAGAAGGCTGTTCTGGTCGTGTCTTCGGGAAGCTGATGTTCACGACCTCTAGGGGCAATGCTAGGGCCGGGAGGCAAAAGGAGGTGTGCGTTGGGGGCAGGTATCAGGCGCTGGGCTCCTGTCGGGCACTCTGTTTGAGGCTGGCAGGCGGGCGTCGCCTTTAGAAGTAGCCTGCTCAGATGGCTCCTTCATTCTTGAAACTCAGGATGTCTGGACAGGCTTTTTCCCAACTGGTAACATTCTAAAAGTAACATAACTGAAAGTAACTGCAGACATAACTAAGAAAGCCCTTCAGTTTCACTTAATGCTAACTGCTAATAAGCATCTTTATCTCCATGTCTTTAGAGACAATTACAGCCCCACCAGGTGGGTGCTGAATGGACGTGTGGATTTTCTGTACATGTCACAACTCCCCTTGAAAAGGATTAGATCATGGACAAGTCACTTCCAGTTGGCTTCATTTTCGTGTCACTAGCGGGGTGTATGGAGAAAGCCTTTACCGGTTTTACCATCGTGGTTTTCCTTCCTGATGCCCACTGGGCAAGGCACAGGGCTGGCCCGTCCACCAGCTCCGAGTTTAGTGGATCCATGGGATAGTTAGAAATGCTGTGGCATGTTTGTCCCTCCCTTACAAAACACACCGTGCCTAGCAAGGGCTGGGCCCGTGAGCCATGGCCGCTGAGCCTGTGCGTCCGGAGCCTGTGCTCTGCAACAGGAGAGGCCACAGCAGTGAGAGGCCCGCGCACCGCAAAAAAATAATAATAATAAAAGAAAGAAAGAAAGAAAAGAAAAACAGGTTTCTGATATTAGAGAAGCACCGCCCGAGAGGGTGGGCTGCACGTGAGGACGTTTCTCAGCTGGCCAGCCTTGCATCGTGTCACACGTAGGCCCTGCCCCTTGCTCCACGTCCCCCTGGGAGCCCACACCCCTCCAGAGCAAGAGCTGGGGCCCGGTGACTCACCTGGCTCCACGTGTGTCACTTTAGCTCTGGGGTCCACAGCCAGACCCCCAACTCCAGTTTGCTGGCTGTAAATGACAAAACCATGGTCTATAACCCTGGTCTGCCCGCCTTTTCCCCTGAAAGGCCTGATGCTCCCCCAACTCCCAGATCCATGTCAGTTCCTGGTGTCCTGGCCGTGGGTGTCACAGCCTGTGGGAGCTCCTTGGCAGTGTTATTATCCGGTGCCCCCGTGTGGACCCCAATACCACGGGTCACAGTGAAAGCAGCACCCATGGGCCCTGCTGGAGGGAACGGACCCCTCAGATCCCCCAGGTGAGGCTGTCCTCAGGCGTCATGACCCAGGGGCAGGCTGCGCGTGGCCTCTAAGTGGCCAGCGGTCACCTCAGCCGTCCGTTTCCCTAACCGGGCGGCTCCCGGTTGCGAGGGGACCAGCTGGGGATCGGCTCTGAACTAGGGGCAGAACAGCCTAAAGGAAGGTTTGCTCTGGAGTAACCCCGATGCCGCCTGAGCCCCCAGGAAGACAGCAAGGAGCAGACGCCCGGCATTAGTGCTCCCGCAGTGATGTCACACAGGTCCCCTGGGCCCGGGGCCCGGAGCACCTGGCCCCCCTCCGCAGAGCTCCATCCCATGGGTAGCCCACGCTGGGGCTTGACCCTGCACGGAGGGGGCCCTGCTGTCCCCCAGCTCTTCCCTCCATCTGTCCACCATGTGGCAGACATGATCTTTCAGGGTGCCTGACCCCCAACCCTGGTCTCCTTGGGCTCCCCTGCTGTGTGTTTGCCCACCTGCCATCACTCACGTTCCCGGGGGTAGGAGTCTGACTCACTTGTGGTCCCGAGCTGCTGCCCCAGGCCCCCCTGCCCCCATCCGTCTGCTCCTCAGCCCTTCTCCCCCAACCAGGGGTGACCGTCTCAGGTCTCCCCAGGTGGCTGCCGCTCCCTGTAACGAGTCAGGTCGCAGGACCGCGTGCTTCCTGCCTTTCGCTTCCGCTTCTCTCTGCCTGATTCAAAGGTCCTCAGGGACTTGCCATCCAGCTCAAGGAGGCAGCTGGTGACAGGCTGGGTGTTTAGGGTGTCCCATCTGTGGAAGACGAGAGGCGGCTGGGAGAAGACTCCCCAGACCCAGGCTGGGGCTCGAGTAGACACACAGGTTTGGGGGTTCAGGGAGCGACTAGGGGCAGAGTCCAAGACCAGGGCTCAGTCAAGGGCTCCACAGGCCCTTTCCTCATCAGGCCCCTTTCAGCTCTGCGTGGGAAGCCAAAGTACTGTTTTTGCCCGATTCTGATCATTTAAGGGCATGTCCTTGGAATGTTTCTCAGGGACTGAGAAGTGTTTCTTCTTTTTTAAATTTAATTTTTATTTTATTTTATTGACTGAGCCGCACAGCACATGGGATCTCAGTTCCCCGACCAGGCATTGAACCTGTGTCCCCTGCAGTGGAAGCGCAGAGTCTTAACCACTGGACCGCCAGGGAAGTCCCTGAAAAATGTTTCTGAATGAAGAGTCTTTTGATGAATCCAGTTGCTTCTATTTTATTCTTTGTAGCTCATTTGAACAGTCTGCTTGAGAAAAAGTAACGTGACTCCATTTGGCATATGTAGTTTTTTTTTCCTTTTACAAATCTCTCGGATGGAGATTTGGCAGGAAGTCCAAAGCAATGTGATGCAAGTGCAAAATGATAAGCTTTTAATTATTAATGAATTATTAATACATGAATCATTTAATTATAAAGTAATGATTTGTGAATAAATTCTATACAAATAATTTATACCGGTAGGGATGAGAAATAGAACATTCATACATGAAATAATAAATTAATCACTTAATTGATAAAGGCATGAGTTGACCATTGTGGTGGGTGGGGCAGCCCTGGGTTAGGATCTGTTCACACTGGCTCTGGGGTCCTGGACAAGTCACCCAGGCCCGCTGGACATCCAGTTCCTCAATCCGAAATGAGAATGGTGGAGTCCTTGTACCCTAGATGATGTCCGTGAAAGGGCTTTGTAAACTCTAAAGCGCTGTACGTGCACTGGTACTTATCACTGATACACCCATGACGTGCAATCGAGGAAGTAGGCAGAGGCATCCAAAAAACCTGAGGTCCATTTTCTTGCCCAGAACTCAGCATTTTCATAAATACTAGGGCAGGGGTCCCCAAGCCCCGCCCCTCCAACCAGGCCGCACAGCAGGAAGTGAGCAGCGGGGGAGCAAGCGAGGCTTCATCTCTATTTACAGCGGCTCCCCATGGCTCGCGTTACCACCTGAGCTCCGCCTCCTGTCAGATCAGCGGCGGCATTAGATTCTCATAGGAGTGCGAACCTTACTGTGAACTGCACATGCGAGGGGTCTAGGTGGCACGTTCCTTATGAGAATCTAATGCCTGACGATCTGAGGTGGAGCTGATGTGGTGATGCTAGCGCTGGCGAGTGGGTGCAAATACAGATTCTCATTAGCAGAGAGGTTTGACCGCCCAGAGACCATAATAAATCAACTGCTTGCACACTCATATCAAAACCGTATCAGTGAGTGGCAAGTGACAATTAAGCTGCATCTTATGGAGTAGACTGGACATAAGCAACACAGTTCGAGTGTCACTGTCTCCCATCACCCCCAGAAGGGACCCTCTAGTTGCAGGAAAACAAGCTCAGGCCTCCCACTGATTCTGCACTATGGTGAGTTGTATAATTATTTCATTATATATATATATTACAATGTAATAATAATAGAAATAAAGTGCACAATAAATGTAATGCACTTGAATCATCCCGAAACCATCCGCCCCCCCGCCATCCGTGGAAAAATTGTCTTCCACGGAACCAGTCCCTGGTGCCAAAAAGGTTGGGGAATGCTGTTACTATGGCGTAAAAAACCTTGCCTTTGGCCTCGGTTCTGCAGCCAAGTGTACTGTGTGTTTGCTTCTGCAGTACTGGGGGCAAAACAAGTGAGTCCTGGTTTGAAAATGAATGTGCTCCGCTTTTCACAGGATACAAGACCCTTCTGAAAGGAATTTCTGGGAAATTCAACAGTGGAGAGCTGGTGGCCATCATGGGTCCTTCCGGGGCTGGGAAGTCCACGTTCATGAACATCCTGGCCGGATACAGGTGAGCAGACCCTCGCCCAGTGGTCAGCCAGGGGCCAACAGCATGAATGGTCCATGCCCGTCACTGGGCAGCCTCCCGGGAAGCCGGAGGGGTGTCTCACAGTAAGGGGCTTTGGAACCTGTGAAGGGAGCAGAGCTCCGGCGTTGGGGGCATCAGAAGGTAGCACATGCTGGTTGTCACCTGGTGGTGGTGAGTGGATGCTGTGCTCAGGAGAGGGAGGTCCTGGGGCAGAAGGGCCAGGCCTTACGGGACAGGGAGTAATGGAGAGGTCCAGGTTGGGGAGGGGGACGGCAGGAGAACGCTGAGACAAGTGTGAATGAAGGTCAAAGGTAAGATGAGCCATTTTCAGAAGAAAAGCAGCAGCGTCAGGCTGGGGCCCAGAGCTCACGTGACTCTTGCCTGTGGCCACGTTAGCTGCTCCGACATTCGGAAAACACAGCTCTCGACGTCCTGTCCGGTGACGTTCATGTGAGGATGATTTGAAAACCGAACCTTCAGAAGTGTTAACAAAATGCTCTCTTAAAGCCAGTTCTCTTCAGATCTCATGGCTTCCATTTGCTACTTCAGCAAATACATTTAAAAAATAACTTCATTTACTGGCAAAGAAAGAGAAATTCCGCCCCCCCTTCCTTAGGACTTCTGAATTACTCTTTAAAGATGAAAATTAGGATTTTTAAAAGTCTCACTTATGGCAGATTCCTGTCTGTTGTATTCACTTCTAAAGGTGAGAGCCAAACTTCCAACACCCAGCGTCATGCTGGGGACACGGGAGGGGAGAGCAGCCGTTTTTCAGCTCATCCCACACCCTCAGCTGCTATCCAGCCTGTGCGGCACGTGGCCATCCTGGAGCCACAGAGGGCAACCTGGAGACAACTGAGCTCCCAGCCTGGTTCCCTGGAACGCCAGTTGATCCCACCCATTCCCTGAAGGAAAGAAGGGACCCACCACAGGGCCCACGGTCACAGCAATGGGCTGGATGAAGTTGGACGCCAGATATAACTGCACTGGTCTCCATAGACGCTCTGTGTTTCTGTTCTTCATGGCATCGGGGAGGCAGGGCTGGAGAACGGGGATCCTTAGTTGGATGCCCATGCCTCCCACTGTGTCCCTGGACTGAGATGATGCGCCCAGAAGAGCGATGCCCAGTGGGTCTGTGGATGAGGGAGTGAGCGTGGCTGGCAGGGCCATGCCCTTCCATCTCCACAGTACACATAGGATGCCCCACCTCCACTGTAGTCAGAGAGAACAGCTTCCCATCGCTTGGCCGAGGAGGGTCAGGGCGCAGACCTCCTCCTCTTTGAGCCACCTGAGCCCAGGGAGCCTGCAGTGGTCCTCCCAGTCAGCATCATAGTCGTGCAACCCCCAGGAACTGGTTCTGATGTAGTGGTCACACCCCAGACTGAAGATTCTTGGCCTCTGGGGCCTCTGGGGTGGTTGGTGTAGCCTCGGCTGCACATAGCATTGTTCATACGCCCATCTCATAAAACCCTGCAAAGCCAGAGGTGTGCGTGGGACCTCGTGGCTGCGTGTAGGAGCATCCGTGTGTATCTCCATTGGTTTGGTCCACAGGCGCCTATTACGAATGTGCTGTCCCAGAGAGGCCCCACGCTTGCCTCTCCCTTTCCACACTGAGTGTTTTCTTTGTGCAGTTCCCTCCTCTGAGTTCTGGTGCTGTCTGGGCCTCCCATCCCTGCCTGGCTTGGTGTCCCTACTGGCCCAGTGAGAAGATGCTGGGAGGGGCCGTCCTCTCTCCCGTCCCCAGGTCCTGGAAGAGGAAGGGGTGCAGGAGGGATCGGGCTGACACGTCCTCTCACTGGCCTTGCAGGGAGACGGGCATGAAGGGCGAGGTCCTCATCAACGGCCTCCCGCGGGACCTACGCTGCTTCCGGAAGGTGTCCTGTTACATCATGCAGGACGACATGCTGCTGCCTCACCTGACCGTGCAGGAGGCCATGATGGTGAGCGTCCTGGGGCCTGCAGCCCCTCACCTGGCTGCCCCCCTCTCTCCTCGCGTGAGACAGCGCAGCGCCCAGCACCCCTCCCTCACACGGAGTCCTGACACCGGGTGTGCTATTTGGACAGCTTTGCCCAAGGCAACCCCTCAAGGCCCTGGGTTCTGTAGACCCTGGATGACGAAATCGAGGTCAGGTTTCTGAGAAGGTTATTAGCCTGGCTGGTGTGAGGGACCGCTTCCAGGGTGACCACAGTCCTGTGCCCCAGCTGAGGCTCTTCCCTTCTCATCAGTGCTCTGCGGCTTTGGGCACAAGTTCCAGGCAGTCTGGTGCCTGGGTCAGGGCCCTGAGGGTCTCGTCCTCTGACTTACATGCCCGCCAGGTGGGGGTGAAACCAGAGTTTGCTGCACACCGGTTGGGTCCCAGGCCTTCACCTTCATAGCCCGGCACAGTCATCAGACATGTAATCCTGCAAAACACACAAGGAAGGGCGCCTCCGAGAGTTTAGCAGTTAGCCCGGGCGTCCTGTGCAGTGTGGTCCAGGATGGCCTGGCCCAGCTGTGCTCTTTGGACAGAACATGACCCAGCCAAGTACCAGGTGGACAGGGACCACAGTGACCAACCGTGGGCCAGGGGAGCCACTAGAGAGCCTCCCGGCCAGAGGAGGTTGGAAGGTCAGTGGGCTGCCCTTGTCCGTCATGAAGCGTGTGTGCCCGGGGCTGCTTGATGTCCTGCGTCCCTTCGTCCACGGCACGAGGCGGTGCCCGACCTCCGGGCCTCTCCTGGCACGTTTGGGACCTTCCCAGCTAGTCTGCCTTGTACTTGGGCAGTAGATGGGCATTCTCTTGGGCTGCTACGGGTGAAGTGTTGCCCTGCACTCTTTTTTTTTTTTCTTTTGCGGCACGCGGGCCTCTCCCGTTGCGGAGCACAGGCTCCGGACGCGCAGGTTCAGCGGCCATGGCTCACGGGCCCAGCCGCTCCGCGGCATGTGGGATCCTCCCAGACCGGGGCACGAATCCGTGTCCCCTGAATCGGCAGGTGGACGCTCAACCACTGCGCCACCAGGGAAGCCCATGCCCTGCACTCTTGACTCGGATGGCGCAAGGCTTCCTGTCTGTGGTGTCGCATCTTGTCCGAAGGGCAATTCCAGGAGATCCTTAGCTGAGCAGAGAGAAGCAGGGAAGGTGTCGGGTACGTGATCTGCCCTCAGACAGGCTCCCCCAGCAGCCATGAGCGCAGGGCACCCTGACCATGTAGCTTCTCTGGCCTCCAAACGGGCATACTGATGGGGGCACAGGATGTTTGAAAATAAGGTGGTAAAGTTAGGAAACACAAGATTTCTAACGACTGTGGATTCCTTAATCGCTACTTCACCTTCACCTGGGGTGACCAGAGTTTCGCTTGTCAGAGTTACTGCATGAAGTCCTTGGTTACTTGTTTGAGGAACTTCACTTTGATTTCCAGCTCAATCACTGCTTTCTTTTGCAAACAAGATTGGTGACTCCTGCTGTCACCTCCATCCTCCTCCAACCTGTCACCAGCCTCTGCTGTGAAATCCATTTATTTTTCAGAGTTAAAATCAATTACATTTTGATTTTGAGAATTTCACGATTCCTTTGATAAATACAGTTGCCCTGAGTTGATGAGAAAGGGTACCTTTCACTCTGCAGGGTCCTGTCCCACGTGGAGGGGTGATGTTGGCCACCAGCCATTGGTGGTACATTTCCATGTGCTGCTCTGACCCTCCACCACCAGGCAAGCCAAGATGTGACACTTGGTGTCACATGGCAGGCGGCTGGCCCTGTCTGACTCTGGGACCGTGGCCCTTTGGCCCCTCGCCCCTGCATCTTAGTCTCTCGTGGAGCCTCGGGACAACCTCGCTAGCTCACCGGGTGGGCAGGTTCTAACCTCACCACTGTGCTGATAAGGAAGCCGAAACCCTTGCTTCCCAAGGTCACAGGCGTTGGCAGAGAAGAACAAGGCTGATGCTGGGCACGGTGATGGTTACTCAGGGTTTCACCAAGCAGGGTCAGGACCCCACGGTGTGCTAGCAGGCAGGATTTCGAACAAAACAAAACAACACAACAGCAACAGCAAAACTGGAGTTCTTATATGTACCACTTACCAACTTCTGTGGCATAAATACTCCGCTGTGGATAATTATAAGCTATCAGTGGTTTAGCAGGTGGCTTGTGAAATTCCTGAATATGCACCAGTCGGCTTCAAGCCCTCCACGATGCCTGGGGATTCCTCATCTCTCTAACTTCCCTCGGGGCATAGCAGAGAATCCCCTGAGGTAACAGGATGCATCCCAGGCATCACTGCTCTCCTGGACCTACCTTAGTTAACCAAGGAAGCTTGGAAGCCCAGACCTCTGAGGATTTCCTCCGTCGTCTGGCGGCTCAGCCCCCCGGGACACTGGGCCTGCGGTCGCTGAGTGAGTCTGTCCTGTTGCCGGCCACCTGTTCTGATTCCACACCGTGACCTTCATCCCCTGCAGGTGTCTGCGCATCTGAAACTCCAGGACAAGGACGAAGGGAGACGGGAGATGGTGAGTGTGTCTGCTCGGGCCACAGGTGCTCCAGAATTGCCTGAAATCCACTCAGCGCACGTGCGTGGAGGGGCCTTTGGGGGCAGGTTGAGCCTGTGGCTTGGCCCCGGCTGTCCTCGTGTGGGTGGCGGTGGCCTTGCGGTGTGCGCCTGGGCTGGCACACACCCGGAGTGACCGCGCCGCCAGGGACTCTCAGACACAGTGAGGATGTGCAGGACACCGGCCTGAGGACCCAGTCTCAGGGTTCGACCCAGCGCTCTGCCCTTTCAGTGTTTAATACACGTTATGCTCCATTGTTTTTTGTTTGTTTGTTTATAAAACACCAACAATGAAGACAGTTAATCATTCATTTAAAAGTAACCAGAGTCCACCCCGACCATTTGCAAGGAGAAATTGGGTTCTTACGTGTTACGAATCAGCCTTTTAAGAGGAGCACAAGCAAGTCTCTGGGATGATGGAGATCTCCTAAGCCTGTTCATTGCTTTTTCCTGCTTCCCTAAAACCCCAGGGAGCACGAGGGTGTTGGGTAAGCAGACCCCGCAGGGAGCGCCCGAAAGCCCCACTTAGTGGGGAGGCCTGGTTTATATTTACACATCCCTTTATGTTTACGCATCGTATAAGGGGAACTCAACTTAGCTAACCCTAACCCTAACGGGACTGTGTGACCGTCTAAGCCGAGGACTGCTGCTGAGGGCGTGCCCTGACTCATTTCCCTCCAGCCCCTGTGTGTACCTAGGTCCTGGTTGTTTACTTCTCGAGGAAACACAATAGAATGGAATGTTCCAGCAGATGGTAGAATGTTGCCCACCTCCCTCATTTCCCAGAAAAGCAGCCTCAACCCTCGAGAACCCCCAGCAAGGAGCCTTCCTCAGGAGCCAGTTCTCCCAAGGCCGGAACATTGTTCTTTCTGATTAATTTTAAAACAAAACCAGCCTTCAGGGCGTCACTCTTGAGAACCGGGAACCAGAGGCCGGCACAGGGCGGAAATGGGAGGGACTTACCTTGACCTCCACCTCCAGCATCCTTCCGGTGGGGCTGAGGGCAGGTGGGGATGTGGTCTTTGTTCTGCACCTTCCGCCTGGGTTCCCAGGGACCGCTGGAGCCGTGTTGTCCTGGGAAGGCCAGCAGACGGTCCATGTGAGGGAAAGTGTGCCTGAGAGATGGCCTTTTCTGGGCGACCACGCTGACCTGCCTTCCGGGGAAGAGGCAGCGGAGCTGGGTTAGGGCTCAGCAAGGGAGAGACCAAGCAGGATTCAAACCCATATCCGTCTGACCCGTCTGCTTCCCGGCCCGTGGAACTCTTCCCGTCACCAAAGCCACATTTTGTCCTGACCGTGCAAGTAATTCAAGAGCTGGGGTGGAAGTTTTCTTCCTTGTGAGCTTCTCCTCCTTTTGGATGACCACGTCTCCCCAGAGAAGCCACCGGACCGGGGTCCCCCCGCTGCCACCAGGAGCTGGGACGATGGCCCAGTGGATGCTGGCAGGGCCTCCGTGGCAGGCTGTCCCCCGAGAGGTGAACCTGGAGTTGGAGGCAGGGAGGGCCACTGCCCCCGGCAAGACACTGGGATGGACCCTGAACGCTGAACACTGCGGCCGAAACCCACACCACAGCCTGCACCGAAGTCCGCCGAACTTTCCTGCCCCCCACGTCGATACCGCATCAATGATCGGGCGGGAACAGCCGGGGAGGGCTCAGTGCACAGCGGGCCGTTTATATCTTGGTGCCCAGGCTGCTTCCAGGGTGGCATCGGCAGGGCCACTGAGGGAGGTGGGGACAGCTTTAAGCAGTTTCCTCGCCTTGCTGCCGAATCAGAGAACTTCTTTGCCTGTTTACAAGTGTGAAAGGGGCTTCACCCCTTCTTTCCGAGAGGCCCGGCCTGCTTGACTGTGTCTACAGGAGCTGTGTACAGTAGTAACAGTGTCACCAATGGCTGCCTTCGAGTAAATGCTTGCCGGGCGCCAAGCATCTTATCCGCTGCGCTGAGTCCCCTACTTACGGACGAGTTCCGTTCCGAGAGCACGTTCGTAAGTCCAATCTGTTCATAAGTCCGACAAAGTTAGCCTAGGGACCCAACTAACACGATCGTCTATATGGTACTGTACCGTCATAGGTTTATAATACTTTTCACAGAAGCAAACACACACAAAATAAAACGTTTAGATATCACGGTACAGTACCTTGAAAAGGACCGTAGTACAGCGGAACAGCTGGCACGCACGGGCACGTTCGCAACTTCAAGGTTCATATGTAGGGGACTTACTGCATTGCATCAGACCATCAAGGTGGCCTCCCCCCTTTGTGCTGGTCAGACACCTGGTCGCTCGTCCACCTATGTGTTCACTGATCCACACTTTCTGCAGTGTTTATCCAACATCTTCCCTGACCCAGGCCCTGAGCGAGGCTTACAAGTGAAGGGACTTGACAGGTGACCAGCAGGGGGCAGGACCAGGACCCCAACCCGGGACGGCCTGGCCCCAGCCCTGCCTCTCAGCCTCCTGGGCTCACACTTGCCGAGTGTCTGCCACCTTGGCAAAGGGCAGGCGTGCGAGTGGGCTTGGGGAGGCAGCTGGGGGTTCCACGTGGGCCCTGTAGGCGGCTAGGAGGCAGGTGGTCCCTGATGTCACTCTGGCTCCACTGTCCCCCAGGTCAAGGAGATCCTGACGGCCCTGGGCCTGCTGTCTTGCACCAACACGCGGACTGGCAGCCTCTCGGGCGGCCAGAGGAAGCGCCTGGCCATCGCGCTGGAGCTGGTGAACAACCCTCCGGTCATGTTCTTTGATGAGCCCACCAGGTAAGCAGGAGCCATGGAGGCAGGAGCCCTGCCCTCCCTGCCGGCAGGAGGGGATACCTCCTGAATCCCCTCCCCTCCGTGCGCAGACCCAGCCGGGACACTCTGAACGCGGGGTCTGGTTGGGGACCACAGGCGTCTCACGGTGCCCCTTGCCTTGCAGCGGCCTGGACAGCGCCTCCTGCTTCCAGGTGGTCTCCCTGATGAAGGGGCTTGCTCGGGGGGGGCGCTCCGTCATCTGCACCATCCACCAGCCCAGCGCCAAGCTCTTTGAGCTGTTCGACCAGGTGCGCACGCCTCGCTGTGATCAGCCCGGGCATAACCAAATCCCGGTACTCACGGCTTCCCCTTAGTTCATTGGGGTGTCTTCATTTCTGAGTGGCTTTAAGTGTTATGTTTCTTAAGATTTTGGCTCCATAAGCAGCTCAGGGGGCAGGACCGGAGCGGGTAGAAGAGTTGACCAGTATCCTGTCTCTGGGGCTGGTGTCCGGCTACGGGGTCTTGGGCGAGTCACTGACATTACTGAGGCTTCATTCCCCACCCCCTGGTGACAGTGGGGGAGTACTTGCCATACAGAATTAGATAGCAGGTTGTGCTATCTGGACAATATCATCTCTTTTATAAATCTTAGGTTTTGATACTATCATGAGCAAAAAAAAAGTCCCAAGGAATGAAGTGTGTATAGCTCCAAAATCCTTCCTAAGCAGGTGGCTAGCATGAAGGGAAAAAAGCAACATCATAATAATTCCTGGTCACATGATATCCTCTGTTTTCCCTGACTTACCATGGATTTCCCTTTGAACTTTGAGTCCTTGGGAGGTAACATAAAGCTCTCCTGAGAGAGAAATTAATGGATTGATGGATGGGTGGGTGAATGGCTGGATGAATGTATGGGTGGTTGGATGGATGGATGGATGGATGGATGGATGGATTGAGAGCGTCTCTTGCTTTACAGAGGAAGGCGGAGTTGATGTTTCCCTTTTCCGTACTTTTTTCCAGCTTTATGTCCTCAGTCAAGGACAGTGTGTGTACCGGGGAAAAGTCTCAAATCTTGTACCGTATTTGAGGGATTTAGGTCTGAATTGCCCAACCTACCACAACCCAGCCGATTTTGGTAAGTAGAGCCATGACCAGCCGGAAGGAAAAGAAAGGGGGTCTTTTTTATTCTTGGTGGGTTTCCGCTTTTACCTGAAGCCTCCAAAGCAAGAATTACTTGAACATTCCACAGATAGCTCAAGTGCCATCCTGAGGTAGAACTTTTAAGACCATGTCAAAAGAGGTTTTGTTTTCTCCAGATAAAATACCTGGGAACTACAACAAGGGATCTATTGTTAGGAGAAATATTTCCTCATACTTTACTCTGTGATGTCTCTAGGCTAAAGGAAGTTATTTCTGAAAAGAAATCACCTTAAGGAAAAACCCTTTTGCCTTGATTAACGGAGATGTTGAAATGCTGATTTAAATTTTGACCAAACCCAAGAAAAAATGTGACCCTGGGAGCCCAGAGGCCAGGCTAATGGTCCGAGTTACTTCTCCTGACTCGGAGGTCCTGAGGCTGGTGCTTCCGTGCTTTGCAACTTGTGATTTATGGGCTCCACCTCCGGTGCCCCCGGCGTTCCTGCTCTGGCCTCCCCTCTTGGCCCAGGCCCTCCAGAGCACTGACAACGACATCTGAAGTCACTTTCCCACCAGATCTGCCCACTGTGTGGCACACACGTTTACCTGCAAATGACAGCCTCTTCAAGTCCCACGCCTCCCTCTTCCTCCGTCAGATCTGCCCTTCCTCACCCTGCTCTCCAAGCGGGAGACCTTGCACCCCCCTCGCCTTCTCTTTCTCTTGAGCTCATATTCACTAGACCACCACGTGCTCAAACAGCCCGACCCATTCCTGTTGTCTCCCTCCGCCACTGTATCTGGGGTCCCTTCCTGGCCATCGCATCCTGCTGTCCTGGCACTGCTATAACAAAGCACCACGAACTGGGTGGCCTAAAACAAGAGAAATTGCATTTGATCACGGCTCTGGAGGCCAGAAGTGAAGGTGTCTCCGGGGCCAGTCTCCCTCCTAAGGCTCCGGGGGAAGGTCCTTCCTTGCCTCTTCCAGCTTCTGGAGGCTCCAGCATTCCTTGGCTTGTGGCTGCATCCCTCCAGTCTCTGCCCCTTGTCTTCACACGGCTCTTTTTCTGTGTTTCTCTGTGTGTCTCTGTGTGTCCTCTCCTCTTACTATAAGGGCAGTCTTCAGATTCAGGGCCCATCCTAAATCCAGGATAATTTCATCTCAAGATCCATAACCAGAAAATTACATCTGCAAAGAACCTTCTCCAAATAAGGCCACATTCTGAGGTTCCAGGTGGACATGAATTTTGGGGGAACACCCTTCAATCCACCATAATTCTCCTCCTTGGTCTCCTGGTCACCGGGCTTTCTCACTCAGTTGTTTTACTCTCAAGCATCCAGACCCCGCATTCTCTACATGTCATCTCCCAGATAGTGTTCCACAAGACGCTGTTGCTGGGAACTGCTTCTCTCTTAAAAGAAGGGGCTCTGACGAAGCAGGACCAGAGTGCTGTGAGCTGGAAGGACGTGAGGGCCGAGGGAGAGGAAGAGGATGCTTGAGCATCTGTAAAGGCAGGGATGGATCAGGCTGATAGCTGCCCAGTCGCTCAGGAGAGAGGACAGCCGGGGACAGGCACCGCTGCACAGGAGAGGGCAGTGAGGTCCGTGGCCTGCGAAGACGTGAGAACCTAGAGAGAAAGATGACAGGAGAAGGAACAGAGCACGTGGGACTGCAAGGAGGGCCCAAGAAGGGGACGGTGTGCCCTTCTGGTGGCTTCTAGACCCTCAGTATCACACCTGAGAGGGTGAGAGATGAGGATGGCCGTTTGGAGGGTGGTGGGTGTGAGTGACCAGCAGAGTGGTCAGTGCTGGCTCGTTTGGTGTCATTGATCGTGACGTTCTGGTGAGGACAACCTCTCCTGGTGTGTGACCAGATGGAGGACGGCTTAGTCACCCCGGCTCAGGAAACAGACGGCTGGTTTTGCCAGGGGTGGGGTGGGGGTCCCTGTGGGCTTTGCATTAGCAAGAATCTGGGACCCACACCAGGAGGGACAGGATGGGGGAGAGGAGAGGGCAGGTGGGAGGGCAGGAAGGAACAGCAGTCGCCGGGGGGAGTGTGGACCCAGGAGAGAAGGGGCAGCGGGGGGCCTCGGACAGTTTGGGGTGCAGAGGCATGACACCGGGGCCAAGGAAGGAAGGTGGAGGAGATGGTGCCTGGGGATCTGAGAGGTGGGGCTGGTGGTCCATGATCTCTACGTCCCCAGGACGCCGAGCGCACCTCCCTCAGTACCCCCGGCACTTCTCCTTGGTCCCAGAGAGCTGCCACAGCGCCCGTCACTCACCCCCGCCCTGGGAACTGCCTTCCCAGCAGGAATCCTGCTTCCTTCTGCCCTCCTTCCAGCTCCAGCTCTGGTGCTTGAATGCCCATGGCCGGCACTCAGTAAATATTGGACAGATGAATAAGTTAACAGATGCATGAGCTCATGACTTCCCGGGCTCTCCGACATCACAATCCGTATTTGCGTGTTCAGGCTCCTGACGTGATAAATGGCCTTGCCTGGGTGTTTAGAGCCAAAAGAACATTGGTCACTAAATGATTTTTATCATATTGTTGGCATCATCACACAGCATCTACATAATCAGTTTAAAATATTCCTGCTAGATTAATGATTTTGTTGCAAAGCAAAGAGGCCCACCGTTCACATGAGCGATGCCTAGGGTGACCCTGTCTGTGTCTCACGGTGCAGTCATGGAAGTCGCGTCCGGTGAATATGGCGATCAGAACGGCCGCCTGGTGAGAGCCGTCCGGGAGGGCATGTGTGACTCTGACTACAGGAGAGAGCCCGGAGGTGATGGCGAGGTGAACCCTTTTCTTTGGCACCGGCCCTCTGAAGAGGTAAAGCAGGCAAAACGATTGAAGGGGTGGAGAAAGGTAATGTGAAGCCCCAGCCCCCAGCAGCGCTGCACACCCCCTCGTGCGCCCGCTGCATGAGAACTTTTCTTAGCTGAGAGGGGAGGCGTCCCAGGGCTGGGGTCTCACCCCTCCTCCCTCCTTGGTGTGTCCTCAGGACTCCACTTCCATGGAAGGCTGTCACAGCTTCTCTGCCAGCTGCCTCACCCAGTTCTGCATCCTCTTCAAAAGGACTTTCCTCAGCATCATGAGGGATTCGGTAAGGCGGTCTCCGTGGCAAAGGAAGCTGTCGGGTCATTTTCGGGTTGTTCATCCTGCTTGCGCTTTCAGACTGTTCTTCCGTCTGCATCCGTCAGCTCCCTGTGAAGCAGTAGTAACAAACACTCCCCAGATGCCAGTGGCTGGGACAGTAAATACTTATGTCTGGTTCGTGTAACGGGTTGTGGGCCATGGCCTTGCCCCACGAGTCTTCTCGTCCTGGGACCCAGAATGGAGGACCGGCTCCTTTCTGGAACATGGCAGAGGGAAAGTGCAGGAGAAACCACATGGCAGCCCTTACGGCTCTGGCTCCCGGAGGGAAACGGTCACTGGTGTTCACATTCCGTTGGCCAAGGCTGACGTCGGGGAGTGTGTTCCTCCCTCCGGAAAGCTCCGTCCGACACAGGGCATGGTGGGTTGTGCAGACACTTACAGGAAGGAGTTGGTGAAGGATTGGGAACCGTGACGATATCCACCCTTTCGAGTGGATGATCTGACAACCTGTGTAGGGGGCTGAGTGCCCAGGGGCCTCTGGGAACCAGTTTGAAAGATGTAGGGGCTGGAAGCCACCAGGCGGAGCTCTGCAAGGGTGGGCCTGTCATGTATCCATTCTTTGCCCCCTTCACCACCATCGTTGTCCCTTGTCCTCCCCTCCGAAGGTACACTGCCCTCCCTGGTTTGCCACTTTGAAGGGGATTTCACAAAGGATAGCAATTCTTTCTGTTTTAACGGCAGTAAAATGCTGCTGTGTGTGTTTGTGTGTGTGTGTGGGCACGCACACACGCACGTGTGCTGGTTTAGGGTCGGGGGCTTGTTTCGTGCAGGGAAGGGGCAGGACAGAGCTTGTGACCCGCCTTGGCCGCTGCCTCTGGGGGCCTTGGCCGCCTTGTTCTTTCACTGTCCACCTTCGGACTTCTGCACACCTGAGTGTGAACCACGTCTGTCCCCAGGTCCTGACGCACCTGCGGATCACTTCCCACATTGGCATCGGCCTCCTCATTGGGCTGCTCTACTTGGGGATCGGGAACGAAGCCAAGAAGGTCCTGAGCAACTCCGGCTTCCTTTTCTTCTCCATGCTCTTCCTCATGTTTGCAGCCCTCATGCCCACCGTCCTCACGTGTGAGTGCCTGGTGGACCCCGTGCCCACCTCTCCCTCCTTATCTGCCACTGAGGCCGTGGCTGGCTTGGCCATGAACACATAGCGTCTTGTGTTTTTAAATACCGTTTTCTTCGTTGACAGATGTAGGTATTATTGTATTTTCTGTTAGACAAGAAAGTGCATACTATATTTAAGCCAAAGGAATGAACCGCTAGGAAGTCTTGTAAGCCTGGTGGAAGGCTGAAGAGACGTTCTTAAAAGGTTTTCTAATCAGGATCCCCTTAAACACTAGTGCATGAGCCTTACCTCGTTCAGTTAAGACAGCCCTGGTGCGGCCAAGTGTGTGAGTGGGTAAAGCTATTCTAGGTGGATTTCCACGCAATTCTAGACTATTTGCAAAGTAGGCTGCCCTTGGCCCCTTCAGGGAGACAGTGTATAAAGCTGTTGCTTCACCAGCTCTCCAGCCTAAACACCCCCTCCCGGCAACACCTAAGCACCCCCTCCCGGCAACACCTAAACACCCCCTCCCGGCAACACCTAAACACCCCCTCCCGGCAATGCCTCCTCCTTAAATTGCCCTGAATTTCCAAGAGCAGCTTGCGAGGTCTTGTCCAGGAAGGGAATCCCATTGTTACAGTTACTCAGTGAAAATAAGGGCAACCGTAGACATTTGTACCCATCACTACAGTGATGCTCCGCACTTGGATTCTCCCCTTCGTGACGCTTCCGTTATAACAATGATGGGCAGTTTTTCCAGACGGGTAAATCATTTCACACCTTTCCATTCAACCTTCAGGTACTTTGTAAGTACTGCATGGTCCACAGGGAGGTGTAGGACAGGTTGGGGCTACAGAGGGCTCGGCAGGAGACCACCTGTTTTTTGTTTTTTGGGGTTTTTTTGCGGGACGCGGGCCTCTCACGGCCGTGGCCTCCGGACGCGCAGGCTCAGCGGCCGTGGCTCACGGGCCCAGCCGCTCCGCGGCATGTGGGATCTTCCCGGACCGGGGCACGAACGCGTGTCCCCTGCATCGGCAGGCGGACTCTCGACCACTGCGCCACCAGGGAAGCCCGAGACCACCTGTTTGAGGTGGTGATCCCACTGTGATGTCTGCCTGACCCTTTCCACTTTCCCGTCCCCTAGTCCCGCTGGAGATGGGAGTGTTTCTTCGAGAACACCTGAATTACTGGTACAGCCTGAAGGCCTACTACTTGGCCAAGACCATGGCTGACGTGCCCTTTCAGGTACGTGAGTGGCAGCGCCATGATGTGAGGAGGCGCGGGGCTCCCCAGCGCCCCCAGTGGCGGCTGCCGGCAGAGGCTGACAGGCCCCGTGTCTGCAGGTCATGTTCCCCGTGGCCTACTGCAGCATCGTGTACTGGATGACGGCCCAGCCGTCCGACGCCGTGCGCTTCGTCCTCTTCGCGGCACTGGGCACCATGACCTCGCTGGTGGCTCAGTCTCTGGGCCTGCTGATCGGAGCCGCCTCCACATCCCTGCAGGTATCGGCCGAGGACGCACCACGGGACAGGCCTCGCTTCTCCACCCTGGCCCGTGCGACCGGGGCCGTGGCTCTGGTGGGGCTCGGCACCCACTCCTTGTGACCCTCCTCCTGATTCTGCCCCAGGTTCCTAGTCTGGCTTCAGTAGGTCGATTGACCCCCAGGGAAGGGGTCGAGCGGTACTGGCTTCTCAGGATGGGCAGATTGACAGCAGCAGGTGCCCTTGTGTGGAGCTTGGGGCACACCAGCTGCTGGTCTCAGTGCTTTCTGAACATCAGCTCATCGAGTCCAAGCACACCCATGAGTTATGTGCAATGCTCCCCATTTCACAGATGGGGAGACTGAGGCCCAGAGGGGCAACGTGATTTTGTCAGAGTCACACAGCCGGCTCAGAGGCCAAGCTCTCAATGCCTACGTTTTGTTGCCTCTGCGGGATCCACTCAGCTGTCCCCTAGACACCCCCCTTTGCACCCCATGCTCCCACCCTCCTGAGCCCCTCCAGGTGTCCCTTCTGGATGCCTGGTACCACCCACCCCCAACCTGCCAAACCCGCCGTGTTTGCAGTTTCTGCACCCCTGGGGCTTCCTGGTGCTCAGGCCAGTCCGACCCTTAGAAGACGAAGCCAGAAGCCTGGGGAGTCACCACCACCGTGGCCTTCTGACGCCCCCCTCCCCAGCGTGTGATGGACTCCTTTCTGTGTTCAGAGCCTCTGGGCGGTACCCTCATCTGTGGCTGGGAATAACGATGGCATCCACCCCACAGCCGAGCCGTAGAAAGTGCTCGGCCCATGCCAGCTGCAGTCAGCACCCAGGGAATCGCGCTCCCGACCCTTCCTCCCTGGAACACGCTGACATCTGGTCCTGGGACGCTGTGCCTCTCTCCCAGCCAAGCGCCCTCACAACCACATGTCCAGCATCGTGCCACCCCTGCTCTGTGGGGTTTCTACTCTTTCTCACCTTCTGTCCCCTCTGCTGGGCCTCTGGGCACAAGCCCCGGCCCCTCCCTGTGCCAGAGACCAGCCAGCTCACTCCCCAAACAGGGTGCTTCTCTGCGCCGTCCTGGCCCTGGTGTGACCTGTCCTGAAGTCTCTGGCCCTTTGCCAGCTGCTGGCGACCGTCCAGAAACACGGGCTGTGGCCTCCGGGCCACATGGGGAGGAGGAGGTAGATGGGAGTAAGTCCCCTTTGTGTCCCTCTCAGGTGGCAACCTTCGTGGGCCCCGTCACGGCCGTCCCCGTCCTCCTCTTCTCAGGATTCTTCGTCAGCTTCGACACAATCCCCACGTACCTGCAGTGGATGTCCTACATTTCCTATGTCAGGTACATGCGGGGGCACCTTACGCCTCAGGGACTTTAGGACGACAGAGGGAAGGGACTTAGGGACGTGCAGAGGCTCACAAAAGCCACTTGTTTGCTGTCAGCTAGATGACGGCATGTTTCTTGGATCGTGAACCCAAAGAGTATCGGTGCCTTTTGTTTTTTTCCTAGTTGTGCATGCCACACACACACGCATACTCGTGGCTCCGTGTCCTGCGTGCTTCGGAGAGCTGCCTTGCATATTTCCATCTCTTAGGAACTTCATTCCTCTCTGGGATGAACAAGGTTCTGAACCCATAAAACCTTAATAAGAAATCCAGTGGGAAACAGGTCATGTTTCAAGCATCTTAACATTCTTGAACAAGACAGTTCTGGTGCCTCAGCACTTAGGCGATCAGATTTCACGCTCTCGACGCAGAGGTGCTTCGGCACGTTGGCCCTCGGCAGGAGAGGCTGGTCGTTAGAGCTTTTCTCCCCAGACACAGCCATTCCACGTGACAGCCAGGGTCCCCAGTTGTGGACAAGCTTGTCTTTTCTAGAATGTCAATTCAGACCCAGGTCTATTGTTCCGGAGAACAAAATCAAAACAAAGCGCTTGTACAGAGTTTCAGCCATAGGTGCACCTTCCAAGACCAAGAAATCAGAAACCCGTGTCTTTCTTCCCGGAATTAGCGTTTTTGTTCTGATGATGCAGGGCTGGAATGGAATGAAAGGTGATGCAGAAATGTTTTATTTAAATGCTCCCCAGTCCTTGGAAAGCTATCGGACCCTTTATTATATTTAACTGTTAAAAAACGTATGATTTCAGAAGTAATCAAAGTGCTTTTCCATTCGTATCACCCTTGAACAATACCTACTCTTGGTTTTTTTGGGTGGGTTTGTTTTTTTTTTTTTCGTTGAGACTTTGGAGGAAACAAAATTGGAAAACACATCATCAAGCCGTTGAATGGATTTATCTGAGGAAGCTGTGGAGTCGTGAGGAAGTGTTCCAGGGAGAAAGATCTCCGGGGAGGGAGGGGAGCCAGGCTGAGGATGGGAGGATGGTGGTGGTACCTTACCCTCCACAGACGTGGGCAGAGGCAGGGGGGAGGGTTCCTGAGCCCTTCTCACACTGGCACTTCCTTCCTCAGATATGGGTTTGAAGGGGTCATCCTCTCCATCTATGGCCTCGACCGCGAGGACCTGCACTGTGACATCGATGATACGTGCCACTTCCAGAAGTCGGAGGCCATTCTCAGAGAGCTGGACGTGGAGAACGCCAAGCTCTACCTGGACTTCGTTGTCCTGGGGATTTTCTTCATCTCCCTGCGTCTCACTGCCTACCTTGTGCTGAGATACAAAATCCGGGCAGAGAGGTAAAGCACTGGAAAGCCAGAGAGAGGAAAATCGGACACAGTGGCCAAGGGCCACTTGCAGAACCTGCGGCAAGCCCGGGCCCGAGGACACAGACACTCCTGTGACCCAACCCCTGGGACCACGTTTGGTTGTTGGGCGTCCAGTGCTGGATGGACATCGCCGCCCCGCTGGGTTGGGCCTTCTCTCCATTACCCTTTCTAGCTGTAACTAAGAAGAAGATGTAGAAAGGTTTTTTTTTTTCCACGTGCAGGATTTTAAAATACCACCCCTGAGGCAGAATTTAAAACTGCAACAAAGCTGGTGACGAGAGGGTTCCTCGGCAAAATTCTTCCTTCTGACCAGGGAGCTCTGGTCCTGGACCGGGGATTCAGGCAGCTTCCTGGGGATCCCTGTGCAGTCAGACGTCCAGGGGCAGAAAGGCGAAGCCAGGAGCGATTCCATTCTGTGACTAGTGTTTTCGTAGTTTCACCTTTCTACGGTTTGTCTCTTTTTCCAACGAGGTCATTTTCCAAGCCAAAAGTCGATAAATTTCATTCATTTCCAGAAACTGTACCTTTTTAGTACTTGGTGAAGAAAATTATTCAGGGTAAATATACTTTGTTTAGAGATGAGAGGGGTTTGATTTGATCGCTGAGCTGGTCTCATTTACTGACAGAACTTGGGAAAGACACAGAAGCCGGCTCCAGGTTGAAGGGTGACCTTGGAACCGTACGCACTAAGCCGTGTGGAAATCTTTTAAAGTTACACAGAAAGTTGTAAGGTGAAATTGGCCATCTCTTTCAAAGTCTTTTATTTTCCCCGTGCTTCTTATTTTAAGCAAAATATATTGGGTTTCTTTTTCTTCCTAACTTTCCAAGCACCTTAATTTTGCCTAAAAAAAAAATTCTAGAAAATCAATCCTGTTGATTTTTTACAAACATTTCTCTTCCCTGACATATCACATCAACTACCTCCACTGAACCTGGGGAAGCTGGGCTTAGAGAAACTCCAGGTGTGAACGTTGTGCCGGTGTAGCCCGCAAGAGATGTGCTAACTGCACAGGAGGGAAGGTGCTGAGATTTCCTGAGAATCCAAGGCCTTTGCCAGAAACTGGCCAAGACTTAGCGTGGCCGAGGCGTCTGGAACTCCATCAGATCATGCACTGAGAGCCGTGGGAGAGTCCGTCTCCCACATCTGGTTTCCATGGCGTCTCAGCGGCACCTTCACCTTCTCAGCGCCAGGCTAGCATAGTCTTTCCAGACCAGAAACTCCTTTCCAGTGATACAGTCACATAAGTAAAAATCCCTCTAGCGCAGGAGCAGTGGGCACGTCTGCAGGGTAAACGGCCTTTGAATTCATGGCGGGCGCCCGTGTGCTTGTTGGCGGCAGTATGACCCCAGTGTGGAAGGGGACTCTGGCCAAAGAAGGTCCTCGGAAGGAAAACGGAATCACTTTCCCCTTCTAGAATGCCGTGAACCTGGAATCCGGGTCTCCTAATGAAAGACTGTATTTTTTGTGGACAGATTCATTCATCTCCCTAAGCCTCAGTTTCCCCACCTGTAAAGAGCAGCACGAGATCGTCCTCAAGGTCATGTTCAGCTCTGAGATGTTCTGAGATTCCTAGGTTGTGTTCCAGAACTTCTATTTCCTATTTAAGAGAATGAGGAAGGTGCAAATTTTACTCACATGGATTTGATTTGCAAGTTCTTAGAGGCCTCTTTTTCACCCTCCGATCCCTTTTAGTAAACACAATTGAGGTATTTCAAATGTAATTTTATGTTTGCCTGTTTTACACCAATGTGGCGTTGCCTTCCAGATTAAGTTACTTAACCAGGGTCAAACTTAGCCTTTATAAAAAGTCTTTATTCAGTTTCAAGATAGACTTGCCTGTACGAATGTCACATGTAGGAAGACACACGTGGGAACAGCCTGGTGAAATAGAGAGTTGGGAATAGGAAAAGTCCTGGACCATGCCTCAGAATTACATCAGCTGAGGCCAGTGTTGAAAGATTTTTCCCTCCAGGTGAGTCCTTCCAGTCGTGGGTCTGTGAGCCCAAGAAGGACATGCACACGGGTATTTTTTAAAGGATGCTACCTGGGGAGCGGTGAGCACACTGAGGTCACCACCGCGGGATAATCTGATTCGGAGCACCTGAGGCCGGGTCCAGTGAGGATGTCGACCTGGGAAGCTGCGTTCATCATTCTTCAAGTGTCAGCGATGCCCCTCGCTCCAGCTTTCTCATCCTAAACTGTCGGCAGCATAGACCCAGACGCTGCAGTTTGGGTCTCCAGATGCTTTCCCTCTGCTTTTTGCTGTAGGGAAGATTGCATTGCTTATTGCAATGGCCCAAGAAAACATGCAAGCAACTTGTTGATTTTATTTTTCTAAGTAGGTGCCGTTAAGAAGTGTGGGGCGGGGGGCGGTGACGTGCTACCTTTCATACGCTGGAATTGAAACCAGGCCGACTTCCCAAATCTACTTCTTTTAAGTAATTTCTGAATGTAGTGACTCAGATCTTCCTTTCGTCTGATTGCGCTTCTTCGTTTAGAAGGATGGAGGAAACATCGGATGAGCGATGTGCAGCCTTTGCAGTTGCTAGTAGAGAAGAAAGTGGAAGTCCAAAGAATATCACTGTTACATGGAACTGGGGAGAGGAAGGGCCTCCGCTGGGTTCTAGTGCCCGCTCCGCAGAGGCGTCAGGGCCTGGGTCTGCTGACCAGCCCTGTCTCGGGAGCCGTGCACCTCTGTCCACGTTCATAGCATTTTGTGCCTCCGTTTCTTCTACCCTTGCTGGGTATCAGCTCGAGAACTAAATGCTTCAAAAGCTCCTGTGTGGGTGACATGGGAAGGAAAGAAATCAGGTAAACATTTTACATAGAAGATGCTGGAATCTGATTGTCACCTTGTGGGGAGGGGCTTCAGAACCAAGAAATAGGACTTAAGCTTTTAGGGAAAAACTCATCCTGGAGACCCACAAAAAGGTCATTTTCCCACCTAAGAAAGGCACTGCCAGGAGGTCAGGGGAAGGCTGAATCCATGGGGTAGAAAGCCCTCCGGTGGGTTCACTGAGGAGAGAACAGCTTGGGCCTCAGTGCCCCGAGCATCCTTCCTTGCCGGGTGGCCCGGGAGCTGGCTGGATGCCTTACCAACGCCTCTGATCACTTACTCACTCAGCAGACGTGTGTTGACCCATCCCTGCGTACTTGATGTGGCCCAGGCACAGGGGCTTGGAGCTCAGAGCAGGCTCGCCCTCCGGTGCTGGCAGGCCGGAGGGGATCTTGTTCTGCAGACGCAGCGTGCCGAGGCTGGAGAGGGTCCGTGAGGCCCCGGGTCCAGGGCCGGGAAAGGGCCCAAGTCGGACCCCAAATTCTCTGTTTTTTGTTTTGCCGTATTGCCTCCTGTTCATAGTGCGCAAATGTACATGAAAACACTTTGCAGGGTCTGAAATGCAATACTAGGTTAGCTCTGGACTTGCTGTCACCAAACGGACAGCTGAGATGGGGGGTAGCCTGCGCCCCTTTCCTCAATTGCCTGGTGTAGGAGTGTCCCGAGCTGGCCTGGGGGCCCAGCTTCTTAACCCCCATCTCAGTGGAGAGGTGCCTTCCTCTGCCTTCGCTCAGCCTTAGCTTCCTAACTCAGCGTACCGGTGGGCTGGCTGGGGCCCGAGAGGGGCTGGTGTGTGTGTGTGCGCGCATGCGTGTGTGCCTATGAGTGTGTGCATGCACACACGTGTGCACACACACGAGGGCACGTGCCAGCTCGATCTGGGTATGTATCTCATAGTATTATCTGTGGTGTTTCTAAATCGTCAATCGTCCTTCACTGCAAGAAAGAAAGAGAAAATTCCCTCGCCTCATGCCTGCCGAGCAGTTGGTAAAGTGTAGTCAGAACCCACTAAGTCTTTCAGCAAATACCAGCTCAATCAGAATGCGACAAAAACCAAAACAAAACAACCCAGCAGGGCGGAGGGCGGCGCAGCGTGTGTGGCTATAAAGTTAGACGCTCTGAAGAAATAAGACCGCTAATAAAGTATTGTGTGTAAACTTTTACTTGTGTTCAGCGTTAAATGCTTCAAATTCAAACTAACCGGCTTGAGCTGCGCCAGGCAAAGGGGAATTTTAGGTTGTATTTGGAATATCTTCGTTGTACGTCTAGCATGGGTTCTGGTTCATTCCTCAGTGTTCTGGTCCAGCACCCCACTGTCGATAGTCACCTTTCTCTCTCGGTAACTTGCATGTTGTAGGTTGAAGTGTCTTAAAGTTTTGTGTTTTTCCTCCGTTTTCCAGCCTCGTCACCCATCTCTTCCCTCTTGTTAATGTCGGCCGGGGCTTTAAGAAATGCCCGGAGCCCAGATGCACGGGCCCCACGTGTGCCTCCCTTGCCATGGTCCCCGGGGACACGGGCCCTGGGCGGGAGGACCTAGGAGCCGGGCGTACGGTGTTGTCTTAGCTCAGCTCTGGTGGGTAAGCTACACTGAGCCGCGCTTCCGAGAGCAGCGTGCTCAGGGCCAGGCTGTCATCCCCGGCTTGCATTCCTCCTCAGGGACACAGGGCAGAACGCGGTGCTGGGCCAAGTCCCAGAGTTCACGGCCCCTGCAGTCCCGCCAAGTGACAAGGAGAGAGGGTGCGGGGAGCCTCAGAGAGCACCCTGGGGTGGGGCAAGCTCACGACGCTCCCTCGGCCTCATCTCTGCACCCCTCCTGCCCTGCGGACCCTGCCCTTCTTCTGTGCAGCTTCCATTAAGGTCATGGTCCTTCAGGTCCGGGCACTCGGCCTCCTGCCTCAGGGAGATTCCCCGGAGACAGTCATCCTTGCCAAAGCCAGATGTTCCTGATGTCCCTGTTGGCGCGCCTCCCTGGGACCAGAAGCAGGAATAAGTCGGGGAGCCCCGCACCCCCATTGCGCAGTCCAATTTTCACACCTGCAGGCTCCGCTCAGCCTGTGCTGAAAATCCAGCCTCCTGGGCAGGAAGTCGGCGTGAAGGTGATGCAGTCACGCCCATCCTTCTGCAGGCCTAGCCTAGGTTTTCTGTTAACTATCGCGTATCCTTCCCTCCTCCCCATCTTTAAGGAAACGGGGGTTTAGCATTAGCTTAATTTTGTATGTTACCTCTAAACAGCCCACTTGGAATCATTCCTCAGACTGACATTCTGTGGCCTGCTCGAGCGGACCCTGAGGTCAGCCAAGGAAGCCAGGTTTCTACAAATGACTGAAGTGAGCACAGGTCAGGCGCAGAGCTCCTGACCACCTCCCTGTTCTCAAAATAGTCCCTTGGTGTCAGAAAGGAGAAAGTGCCCCAGGCACACTGGCCATCACATTCTGTCCGGCCAAGGGGTTATCACCAGCGGGGGCGTGGCTTCAGGGCTTTTCTACAATATAATGACCATCGTAAAGCTGAAGGGAAAGGAACAGAAGCACAAAAGTGCCCTCGTGTTGTCACAGGCTGGGCGGAAGCTGCAGGCTGGGTGGAAGCCGAGCCCCGCTTTGGGAAGGAGGGCGGTGGGATGTGCGTACACAGCTGGAGGGCCCGGCCCACCGGTTCCCAGGGAGACACGCCAAGCCAGGGACGTGGCCACAGGCACGTGTGAGTTCCTCCCTGGGGTTCGTGGTTTGACCCAGATGTTGGGAACGGCATGAGCCCAAGCCACACGAGCGGAAAATAGCAAAGACGTTTTCTCTCAGTGGCGTGGCCCCATCCCCTGCTTGGTGTGTCTGAATAAACGTGAAAGAGAACCCTGTTGATCACCTGTGGGTGCCTTGGGTCTGTACTTTGCACGTGAATCTAACCGTGGCCGTGACGCTGTATACAGTTAAATGGTATCTCCTATGTCCACTGATGTTCGGACATCTGATTCTGGGGAACTTGTAAGCCACCTGCTCGTACCTCTGCAGGACGGGAGTCATCCCTCACCTGCAGCGGGTGCCAAGGTGAGCGGGGACGGAGATGCTGAGGCTTGGCTGGCAAGCGTCGGAGTGGTGAGGTGTGACCCTCCCTGCCGCCTGCTTGGGGGCCCGTTCTCAAGTCCCGCAGGGCATCTCCTGGAAGGAGGGTTCGGGGAGCCCTTGTTGCCAGCCACTGGGAGGGGAGTGTTCTTTCATCTCACCTGCCGTGAGGTGACTGTCCAGCATCAGCCCCTTCCTTCCATCACAGCCCTGGATCGGCACGGTGGAGCTTTTGAGAAAACAGTGTTTACCCAACAGGGCTTTGCTGAAGCAGAGGAAACAGCAGGCTCATCCATTTCTGGGGGAGAAGTTACCAAACCGACCTCCGCTCTTGGGGCCCCAGCATGTGCTCTCTTGTGCTGGGTGGAATGGATCAGGCCTTGAAGGGAAAGGCTGAAAGTCATGGGTACCTGGGTCAAGGTTAAGGTCCCTATATTCATGGGTTCCCGGACATCCCAGGTGCAACCTGATCTGAAAGGTACCACGGTTGGTTTCTTTGAGAATATGCCAGTGGCCATGGTAGATATTTTGTTTTTATATCTTTACATGTTTTCACAATTCTGTCATCACGTACCTTGGGGGGTCTCTTCTCCACAACCTTTGGAACACAGGTTGCCCAAGCTTCATCATAAATATCTCATTTCAAGTCCTCGGCCAGTGAAAACTGGTAGCCGGAGGTCCTACCATCCAAACTGCTAACAAAATGGACCACCCACCCCACACAAGGAGTTTTCTGTTTCTCTAGTCAAATGCTCCCTGGGGAAGGGGGTGACCAGAAATGAGTTTCTCCATAGAATGAGTATGTTTAAAAAGTTAGCGTGTATAGCTGACCCCCTCACCCGGGTTTGTTTTTACTTAACGGTTAGCTAGTTAACATTTTTCCTTTGTTCCTCCTTCCAAAGCAAGAGTCAATGCAAATAACACTTTGAATCATTGTGTAAAGATGTGCATATGTCTGTATATCTAATATGTAACTATGTAATGTCTGGTTTTTATAACGCTGTGCGGATAACCTTACATTGATTTAGCCGCGTGACTTTAGGAAGTACTGTTCTTGCACGCTGGGAGAGGTGTGCACTGTCCCAGGTGAGAACGTCTATACATACGCGCACGTATATGTGTGTGTGTGTGTATATATATATATATATATATATATATATAATAACAGCGGCTCCCTTGGGTACTTGTCTCCTTGGCTGTTTCCCTTGGGTCTGTTGGAACACAGACCCAAGCAGACCCTAACATGTAAGCTTTCTGACTCTACAGACCGTGGTCCTGCTTTGTATATTTCTGCAGAGATCTCCTTAGAAAATTTGTACGTGCATTTTTTGCAGACTTGAACACTGTTTTCTGAAATTAGATGCCATTTATGAAAATGTGACATAAATCAAAATAAAGCATCGCTCTTTTCAGATTTCTGTTTCTCTCTCTGGTTTGCTTTTAACAGCAGCAGCCTGCAGACCAGCTGGGAGAATTGGGCCTGGGGTCTGACGGAGCCTGTGGGGAATTTTCTCATTCTTGCACTGCCCTCTCTTTTAATGAAAAAGTTCCTCTGCTAGGTGTTATAATGGCTTTGGATGAAATTGGGAAGAAAAATAAGAGTGACCGGGGTGATGTGCAAGCCCCACTTGTTAGGTGATGTGGTAGCACAGGGTCAGGTGCCTTTTATATGTGGTCTCATTTCACTGCCATCCTTGGGGCCAGCGTGTCACTGCCAGCCCATTTCACAGGCCAGGGAACTGAGGCTCAGAGAGGTTAGACAAGAGGCCCGAGGCAAGCGGTGGAGGCAGAATGCAGACAGTGACAGTAGCCAGGGAACCGGTGCTCCGGCCCCTGCTTCGCACTCCCTCGTTTGGAAGAAGACACTGAGAAACTGACAGCAAAGAATCCATCGGGTCACAGGAAGTGGCCTGGGGGAGTCCGTCCCCCACACCCAGGGGAAATTTCTCCCAGACGCTTTGCTTAGGGTAGGGTGATGGGCGAACATCCCCAGGAGTCAGCTTTGGGGGTCTTTGTGCTGTTAGGGCCCCATATGGGTCAGCACTGGAGTTCAGGCGTCACTCTGGGGTTAATCACCCGGGTGTGGCCGTAATGGGGTTGCACTAGGTTACCTTTGTCGGTGTGGAGGAAGGTGTGCGTGCAGGGACAGGACAGAGAGAGAAACCACACTGAGGACCTGGCGCCCCCGTTCCTTCTCCCTGCCCAGGCTTCTCTGTCCCTGGACGCTGTCTTGTGCTCCTGAACCACCTGCCATCTTCCCCACCAAAATCTCCGCTCCTTCCCCGCTCCTTTCCCCCTCCTTCCCCCCTCCTTCCCCGCTCCTTGCCCGCTCCTTCCCCACTCCTTCCCTACTCCTTCCCCACCAAAATCCCCACTCCTTCCCCACTCCTTCCCCACTCCTTCCCCACTCCTTCCCAAATGCTCTTTATTAGAAATTTCAATTTACAAATACCCTGCACACTTCTTTGAACAAATAATACAAAAGTTAGTAATCTCACCCCCAAACCATCCTGTCCCAAGCCCACCCCCTCCAGGTAACCAGATGGCAGGTTATCACCCAGCCCCTCATCCCACCCAGAAAGACACTCCTCATTGCCGCGCTTCCCGCCCCTCACCCCAGATTGCCAACAGCGCCCTGGACCGGAAGGTACAGCACTCATGCCCTCGTCAGAATGTTCCAGAATCCATAAAGCCATGTCCCTCCTGATCCCTGCTGTGGTGGTTTCTACCATAACAACCGTGCTTCAGCAAGTCTGAAAATTTGGAAAACATCCTTATACTTATATCCTTACAACCTACCATTTAAACCACAGAAGCTTTTCTGGAAACTCAAGGGGAAGGAAATCCAAAATGTGAAACAGGCACGCAGAGAAGGTTTCCCACTGGAGGTGGAACTGCAGACCCCCACGGGTGCCCCCCACTCTCACGGTGCTTTCAAGGCAGCCCCATCCAGCACCCACATTCTGCCTCCAGTCCCATGTCACCTACACGAGCACGCTTCCCCCTGGCCTCTCCCAACCAGGCCATTCCTGCCCCAAACGGGATTCCCCTATGGGGCACCTTGGTTTAGGGACCGTCCAACCACCTGTTGGAGACCTTGTCTAAGTTGGCTGTGGACTGAGACCCTGCCCACCCAGTCCTTCCTTCCCCGATCCATTCAGTAGTGTCAGATCCGCAGTGAGATCTGAGACCTATATCCTTACAACCTACCATTTAAACCACAGAAGCTTTTCTGGAAACTCAAGGGGAAGGAAATCCAAAATGTGAAACAGGCACGCAGAGAAGGTTTCCCACTGGAGGTGGAACTGCAGACCCCCACGGGTGCCCCCCACTCTCACGGTGCTTTCAAGGCAGCCCCATCCAGCACCCACATTCTGCCTCCAGTCCCATGTCACCTACACGAGCACGCTTCCCCCTGGCCTCTCCCAACCAGGCCATTCCTGCCCCAAACGGGATTCCCCTATGGGGCACCTTGGTTTAGGGACCGTCCAACCACCTGTTGGAGACCTTGTCTAAGTTGGCTGTGGACTGAGACCCTGCCCACCCAGTCCTTCCTTCCCCGATCCATTCAGTAGTGTCAGATCCGCAGTGAGATCTGAGACCTCCTGCACCACCCGGTCTTCTGCCTCACAGGGTCCCCCCGCCATGAGTCTGCTGAACATCTGACCCTGTGCAGGTGTCTGAGCTTGAAGCTAAATCCCTCCTCTCCGTGCCACTGAATGTTCAAGAATTCTTGGAATAGCATGACGAATTCCAGTGAATTTTTGACATACTCTGGAACAGTGCAGAGGGAACCATTGCCAAATAAATGCTGAAGCGACGCTCTTACAGACCAACCATACTGACATAAGAGGAGGGGAGAAGCATATAAACACCACAAGAAGTTATCAGTAGGTTCAGTGGCCACGCTGTGTGTTGGGGGCTGGTGGGGGGGAGGCCTGGTGTTATCTTCCTTTTCCACCAGCAGCAGTGGGGTTCTGGCTTCTCCTTGGCAAGTCAAAGCTCTCATTCCATGGTTTCTGGAAGGTTCTACAAATATGCACCATTAGTCAGTGAGGAAGGTACTTGATATCAAAGTGATCCCTGGATCCTGTGAAACTCAACTGATCATTTGAATTCACCCTGAGCCACTTGTGGATTCAAATTTTAGAGGCGCACTGACCAGGAGGTGGGGAGGTGTAAGGGCGGTGTAAAGGCCACGTGGGCCGTGGGCAGTCAGTGTCAGCTAAGTGCCTTCAGGGGGGCTGAAGTCCACCAATGATGACCATATTAGACGCAGCCCAGCAGAAGTGGCCACAGCCCATCCCGGGTTTGAGTCTTATCAAGGCTGTGTCCTGGGGCGAATTTGTCCCAATGTCCTCATTGGTGAAGTAACGGTAAATATCACGTTGCTCACTGAACTCTAGATAAAAGAAGAAAACGTTTCCAGTCCACACTGTAGTTCTTCTTATCCCAGAATTTTAAAATCGGTTAGCACTCTCTGGGTACTTAATTGACATCCAGTGTCCGGAGCCAAGAAGGTTGTTTAAAATTCCCGAGAGAGACCACCCAGCCCTGAGAGACCCCCATCGAGTCACAGCAAACGCAGGGACAGAAGAGGGCTCCGTGGGACCATCTGCTGGCCCCTGGCAAGCCAGCAATTAGAATAATTATTCCAGTCTATCGGCATTTCAGTGTTTCCTTTTTAAACCTAGCCAGTTATTATGGACCTTTACACAAGGTTGGAAACATATTAACTATTTAAGCTCCTTATCCCCCATCTATTGTGACTTACAAACTGAATTAGATGGGAATGACCAGTGGGAGGGGCTATGATTCAGCCACAACCTTCTGGAAGGGCTCTGAACCCTCCCCGCCTCCTGCTGTTGGCCTGTCCTCGCAGGCTGCCTCTGGGCGCCACTCCCTGACCAAGTTACTGTAGGGCTCCGTGGAGAGTTTTCTCTTCCGAAAACGAAAATGGGGAAGGTGGTACCCCTCACCGCGTGGGCTTTCAAGGAGTTAGCAAATCTCAAGCACCTCATGGGTGTCTGACGCATGCCAAGTGCCTGATCATCCCATTAGCTTTGATTATCTTTACAGATTCCTCTGGGTGTCCGCCAGGGACTCCCGGCTGGCTGCACCGTGAGATGTCCATACCTGGGGGAAAGATAAAGGCAGAAACCACCCTGCCCCCAACACAGAGCACCCCGGGAACGGCATCTCTCCAAGTTCCTTCCACCCCCCAGATGTCACCCTGAGATTCTGGGCTTCACGCAGACCCTTTGTGTGTCTGCGCAAAGGGTGAAACGAGAGGCAGCCACACCATTAGGGCAGACACACAAAATGTGGTACACACGTGTTTCAGCCTCACCCCAAAATTCATTTGCGATGTGCACATCAGTGACTTGAGTTTTCTCTACTGCTGAACTTAAAATCCCCACCCAGGCACTTTGGGGCAAATTCCATCCCGTTCCCTGCTGAGCGAGCTGCGGCTTGCTGGGGTCTGGGCTTCCATGCTGGGCAGGATGGTGTGGATCTCCGCAAGCTGCCCACCCCCGGCCCCGGGCTGGCGCACACCGAGGTGGGGTCCCGATGGGACACCCTCCCAGACCCTTCTGGAAGCTGCGGATTCAGCAGGGCTGCTTCCCGCTCTCTTTGGCAGGACACACAGCAGACCGGGGTCCTCACTGACCTGAGGGCACTGGAGCCGCCCGCCACACCCGCGCATCTTCCCCTCCCCGCCACCCGGAGGCTGCCCCGTCCGGCGTCCAGGCTGGGAACAGAGAAAGAGCCCCCTGTACTGTGAGAGCTCAGAGCTGCTGGGGTGGGAGAGTGTCTTCGGACACCGGAACCAGATCTCCCTGCACTGCGTGTGACCGTGGGGTCCTGACCTAACCTCTCTGTGCCTCTGCTTGTTCACTTGCAAAAATGGAGATAATCACCCGGGGCTGCCGTGGGAATTAAAGGAAGTCAAATGTGTAAAGCGGCAGTGGGCACTAAAGGAGGGTGTGCCGCTCCGTATTCACGTTCACCGGGACCCCAGGGCACACGGGGCCCGGCTTGCACAATGACCCCCTCTGCCCCCTGCACGAACAACGGAGCGAAGGTTGGGGAGAGACATGTGCGCCCCAGGAGGGGAAGATGAAGGCCCATCTCTCCATCCCCCCACCTGTGGATGATTCTCCTGAGCAGGGATGAAGGTCGCTCCAGTGTCTGAGTCTGGCCCGGGGTCTTCCCAAGTCCCCCGGGAAAGCACACACTCAAGACGGGGCCCTGAGCCGCCAGCAAGGGAACAGAAGCCGCCGTCTGGGGCCTGGGGGTGAGGGGTGAGCACCGTCTCCCCTGATGGTGTCGGTGGCCTTGACACAGAAGCAGTGGCTCAGATCTGACCACGGAAGCTACGGTGGGTGGTGGCTGCAGCGTCTGTGAGGGGAGATAGCAGCTCCCCGGGCCTCGAGCTCCACCCAGAAGGGCGGGTGCAGGGGCCTGGGATGCTGGGGCCTCTGGGGGGGAGGGTGGTCCCCAGCCTCCGCCCCCTCCTCACCCCATGGGGTTGTGCGCTGAATGCCCGGTCCTCCTGGGGGTGGAGGGCGAGCGGGGACCTGCGGGTGGGGGAAGGCGCTGGTGGGACTCTGCGGACAAGTCGAGTGCGTGAGGGCAGACGCCGCGAAGAGCTACGGACCGTCAGGGAGGAAGGACAGGATGGAGTCCCTCTCGCAGGGTGGAGGGCGTGAGAATGCTCAGGGAGCGGGCGGGGCATCTCGCTCTTGGGGAATCACGTGCACCTCAGAGGGGCTCTATCTCCTCCAACCAGACCTCACGTGACAAATCGCAGTGTAACAGGCCTCCCCTGGGTGGGCTCTGGGGTGCTGCCCCCTCAGCAGGGGCTTTGGGATGAGTTACTTACCCTACAACAAAGGGAATAACATCTCACTTCTAGGATGTTCATAGGATCTCACTCGAGAGACCTGGCCCAAAGTGCAAGCTTAAAAACAAAGCCTTTTGTTTCGAAAAGGAGCCAGTGTCTCTTTTCCAGCGGGAAGGATGGCTCAGACCCAGAAACGCCCGTCCGGAGGCTGCGCTGCTTTCTGCCCCGCCCCGTGCGTGCGGCGTAAACAAGCCCTGCGGTAGAATCAGTAGAATCGTCTGTGCAACCTTAACAGAGTCCTGTCAGCAGAAGGAGAGCAGGACACTCAGCTTGGATGGCTGGAAACCGTCCCGGTGTCCATGGAGAGCTGCGTGTCCCCAAGAGTGAGGGAGGGGACAACTCTCCATCTCAGGGTTACTAAGACTTCATGAGTGTTCGTGGTGACATTTGTTCATGTATCCACAAAGCTGCATCCATTTTCAGAGGAAAAAAGCAAAAGAAGGCCACCCAAGCTGTCACAGATGGTAAACTTGACTTATAAAGAAATACCAAAAAGTGCCAATTGGTAAGATGGATTTATTAGCTTTCTCTTCGCCAGGAAAGACATTAATAATCTTTTTTTTTTTTTTTTTGGAACTTACATTTGAAACGGTGTTTCTCAAGTGACACTTAGAAGGTGGCTTGCCCTCCCCGTCAGGTCAGCACTAGACGTGAGGTTTGCTGCACCGTCACAGCTAGGGAGCTACTTTGGGACCCTTCCCTCCTCCCCAGGCCTGGGGGAGACCCTCTGCTGGGAGATGCTAAGACACCCTCCACCGCTCCCGTCTGTGAAATGCTGAGAAGGGAGAGTGTGACTCGGTAGAAATAAAACACAACAGCGGAAAGTCTCAGGAATGAAGACGTGTCCTCATGCTGAGTACGGGAGCTTTATTCTCTAAGACATCAGGCCTCACACATTAGGGGCAGTGCTTGCCGGGAGCAGGTGATAGAAAAGGAGAGGCGCTAGCGCCAGGCAGAGTCCCCCTCCCAAGCTGTCGGGCAGCAGCATGGCTTCAGAAGGTGCATTCTGGAAACAAAGCACAGACATGCATTACCCTGAGCCATCCCGTGCCTGCCCACCCGCTGCTCCAATTCTCCAGGTCCAGACAGGCTCCGAGGTCAGCGCCGTTTGCTGCTTTCCACACCAAGTCCCTGGGGAAGGGTTGAGTTCCCCCTGACCCTCGCGGGAGAATAGCCACATGCCCCACGGGGACCCAGGTTGTCGGGGCAGACGGCACCGGAGACGGGCCCAGGTAGGGCCACTGCCAGAGTTCAAAGAGGTGTCGTCGCAGGCCGAGGAGCCGGCAGAGCAGGGACGGCCAGCACAGGGGTGACTCTCCCTCCTGGGCCCAGAGCCTTATCTGGACCTCTGCCCAGCTTTGCCGGGAAGGGGAGGAGGCCCTGGACAGTGGGAAGGGGCCCCGCGCTGATTAGGGAGCCGGCATCAGGCTGAGACGCGGCCTCCTTCGTCGTTACCCGGGGACGAAGCGCAAGAGGGGCCCCCCGGGTGCTCGTTCCAGGAAGGGGCCTTAGGTAGCTACGTTCATCGTAGACGGTGATCTGGCACCGGGGCTGCCAGATGGCTCGTGGCTGCCAGATGGCTCACGGCCACCTCCACGCCGCACATGTGATGGGTGGGGCATAGAGGCAAATCACCTGTGCAGTCTGCTCCTGACACGCGGCTCCCCAGGGGCTGCCCTGCACCCCACTACTCCAGCGATGGAGGGGTGAGCACCTCGTGCTGGGGGCAGGGTGGGGGATGGCAGGGTGGGGAGAGGTGCCAGGACTCCAGCCCAGCATGTCGCCAGTCACAAAGGACAGAGACTCTGCAGGGTCGTGTGCTGAAAATGATCTTGAAATCCGCCCAGCTTTCCAAACCTACGTATTGTCCATTTCTCTCCAAACTAGTTCCCTCTCCACAGGGCCTCGACTTTGAATACCTTTCTGAAATGATTAGAGTTTGCACAGACCTCCTCGGCCAACTGACAGCTGTGGCGCAGGGGGTCCCACCCAGGGCTCAGGTGTGTGTGGCTTCCTGGGAGCCCGGAAAGGTCCCCCGCGCATGTGGGGCTGACTCACCTGCTTCCTGCAGGGGCTTGAAGCACCAGGGCACCCCGGAGATGCTGGAGTCGAAGCAGCAGCCCCGGTTGGTGCACTGCTCGGGGGTGACGTCGGGGTAGGCGCAGTCCGCCCTGTCCTTGGCTGGGACCATGCACTGGTTCGGCGCTGTCCCAAACAAAGCCCAGTCAGAGCCCTTGCTGGCTTGGGGTCGGTCTACCGGCTGCAGGTCTGCACCCTCCCCCAGCTCCTGAGTTCAAAGGCTGTGATCTCACCCCTCCCATAACCTGTGCTTGTCTGCTTGTCGAGGACACTCTTCCCGTAAATGTTTAAAGAGAAACGTTCTGTCGGAGATCTGGCTGGCTGCCTGGTGTCTCTCACTTGGGTGCTCCTAGCACCTTGCCAGGAAGTCAATAGAGCCTGGATTCCTTCCAGCTGGCAGGTACCCATGGGAATCCAGGGCCCCCGAACCCGGAAACAATGTTCCCCTTTATTGTCTTATCAACAAAATCTCCCCCTTAAAACAAAAGGAGTATAATAGAAGGCAGGCATTCAAAAGAGAAAATCACAGTGTTTACTATTTTCTGCTTCTTTTCTGTATCTCCCTACCCCCCTGTCAAGCCTTCCCTGTACATCCTTGGGCTTCTACTATTCATTTTCCAAGTAAGTCTTTTTGTCTGAAGTTCAGCAAAAGTCCACTTTGCCTCATTTCTTAAACTGGATTTGTCCTTAGGAAAATAGAAATCACGTGAAATCTCAAATCCTCTCCTATGGCTGCCAATTCATAATTCCTCATTCCACTGGTTCCCAAACTTCGCTCACGTTGGGATCAGCCGGGGGTCTTGAAAAACCATTGATACCTCCTCCCACCCAGAGACTCTCTGATATAGTTGGCGTATCCTGGGCTTTAAGAGTTTTAAAATCTTCCAGGTGATTCTGATGGGTGACAAGTTTGAGACCTCTCAGCAGATAACTGCCACACCCTAATTTCTTTTATTTTATTTTATTTTTTTTTGTGGTACGCGGGCCTCTCACTGTTGTGGCCTCTCCCGTTGCGGAGCACAGGCTCCGGACGCGCAGGCTTAGCGGCCATGGCTCACAGGCCCAGCCACTCCGTGACATGTGGGATCTTACCGGACCGGGGCACAAACCCGTGTCCCCTGCATAGGCAGGCGGACTCTCAACCACTGCGCCACCAGGGAAGCTCCACACTCTAATTTCTTCACACTCTGGTTAATGGAGCAGACTCATTCCACTGGAACTGCAGTGCAATGGCTAAATGAAAACTGTGTTTGTAGGTATTGAAAATGTGATCGTTTTCATTTGTCTTTTCTTTTTGTCTTGAGAATGTGCCAGAATAATGCACAAAGACCTATATTGTAATTCGGAAATCTCCAGCAAGGAAGGCAGTGGGATAGTGGGCTTCGATGTTGGCTGCCAGCCAGGTGGACCTGGGTTCCAATCCTAATTTCCACACTGCCCGAGAGGGTCAGTTATAAACTTTCAGAGCCTCAGTTTCCTTGTCTGTAAAATGGGGACAGCAAGACCCAATATGTAGAACTGTTGATAGAAAATGTGTGTGCCTGGTAAGTGGCAATTATTAAATTATTAAGGGACCTGGTCACTCTCCTCAAGCCACAGGAAGCTCCCAGCCTGGCTCTCCCACGTCCCGTCCCCTTGTCATGTGCTCCCACCTCGCCAGCCGGCCCCTCCTCCTTAAGGAGGTCAGAGCGGTACTCACACAGACTCACGTACTGCCCAGTCGAGCTGGAGGACACCAAGGGCAGGACCATCACCAGCAGCCAGAATGTTCTGGCCTCCATGGTCACGGGCGGGCTCTGGGGACCCGTCGGCTCAGAGGACATGCCACGTCTGCCGAGAAGACTCATTTTTTATACCCCTGTGTTTACACAGGCACTCTGGATTCTGTTTGTCTGGGGAGCCCTTCCCTCTAGGTCCAGCCCCACCTGCTTCTCCCCTGCACAGGATGGTACAGCCCCCAGAGCATCGTCCATCCCAAAGGGGAGAGGCTGCTTCCGACCCCACCTTTCTGGTAGTAAGCCAGTGGTGGTAGCAGATTCCAGTTGCCTGTGAATACCTCTCTGTCAGGGAGCAGGGCCGTGTTGATGCCTGTGTTAGCCTGGCTGGAAGAAAAGGTTAAAGGCTCAGCGTGGGGCTGGAGGGCAGGGTCAACAGGCCTGGGCATCAATCCTGCAACCCACCCAGCAGCAGGCCAGCAGGGTTCCTGCTCAGCGACAAGAGTTCCCAGGCCGCTTAATCGCAGACCCGTCTCGGGTACTTGAAAAGACAGGTGACGGCGCAAGTGCGGTATGTGGTGCGCGCAGATTTCACAACTCTTGAAAGGTAGAAGTTCCTTTTCTTTCTTTTTTGCTTTTCTCCAACAAAAAAATTGTTTTTATCATCAGCTACACGTTAACAAATGTATTAAATAAACTTATTCAATACATTTTCATAAAAATATAATACCTGCAGCTGGTTTTTATTTTCTTTAATATTTTCTTGCCGTGGACCGTTTGGTTTTTTAAGTCTTTATTGAATTTGTTACCATATTGTCTCTGTTTCATGTTTTGGTTTTTTGGCCAGGAGGCATGTGGGATCTTAGCTCCCCAACCAGGGATCGAGCCCGCTCCCCCTGCAATGGCAGGCGGAGTCCTAACCACTGGACCGCCAGGGAAGTCCCTGCAGTAGGTTTTTAAAATCAGACAGTACAGAAGACTCTCCCCCTTTTGTGTGGCGCTGTCCATGTTTAACACGTTCTTAGGTGTTTTCCAGAATGTTCTCTGTACATGTAAGCACATTTTTAACACAAAAGCGAATTTACACCTTGCCCAGCTGGCTGGTTTTTTTTTTTTTTTAAGTGAAGGCTATATCTTGGAAATTATTTTATAACAGCATACCTAAATGAGACAGGTATAATTTTACCCATTTTCTGGAGGAACACACCAAGGCTCAAAATGTTGTTACTGAATCCAATCTCATACTGCTGGCCACACAAAAGGCCAATAAATCGAGAGACAGGTTGGGGCAGGAAGAGCAGCTTTATTGGGAAAGCTGGGAGTCCGAGAAGATGGTGGACTCGTGTCCCAAAGAAGCATCTTACCCGAGTTAGAATTCGGGCTTCTTTTATTCTAAAAGGGGAGGGGGCATGGCTGGTTGCCTGAAACTTCTTAGTGCCGCCAGAGCCAGACCTTTGTTCTTGCAGCCTTCCACGTAGGTCTAGTCACCGCGTTCCTGTAAACTTCCAACAAGACAAGGGTTATTCTCTATTGTGCAACTTTTTATCCCTATGCGAGTGAAAAGGGTTTTGCCTTTAAAGGTCAAGCCTGGGAGGCAGAGCCTTGAGAACGGGCTGCGATGTATATTTCAGGCCATAGGTGACATTCCGGTACCCAGGTGAAGAGGCAACATGATTAAGCACAGAGCACAAAGGTTAGAGCTGAGGGGACAGATCCCGCATGGAGTCAGGTTTGTTCTTCTCTGTTACAGGATGGCTGTCAAAGGTTACCTAGGGGACCCGGCGGAGCTGGGATTCAACCTGCCTCTGTGGGACCCTGCGGTCTCCACTCTCCATTCAGGGTACCCGCCCCACCCTGCAGCTGGCTGACTGGGGAGAGAGGGCGCACCTGGGGTCCAGCTATCGTGTGTTCTTCAGGCTTCCTTCCTGGCTGGGCTATTCTTCTCTCTGTTCAGCTCTGACCCAGGAACCGTGGGGTAGGTTTTGTACACCATCCCAGGGTGGACCCACTTGCTGGCCACACTTTAATCCCCAGGCGGGGTTACAGTGTTGGAGGGGGTCCCCAAACCACCCAGGGGTTCCTCCTCAGAGCTGTCCTCCCCTGAGCGACCCATAGGGCCAGACTGTGCTTGCACTGGGAACGGGGACTCTGTCCCGCCTCGTGACTCCCCTGGCCCGGCCCTGCTACCTACCCAGTGAGCCCTGGGGGAATCCACATGCCGTGACACCCGCATCTGGTTTGCTCCCCGCTCCAAGGCTTGGAGACAGAGCAGGCTCCGCATCGTTTTCACGCCACTCACTCTGTTCCCAGAGGGAGAGAGTCGCCCCAGCTAACAGATGGCATGATTGTTATGTCATCGCAGGGGAAATTCCTGGGAGCCTCTTCTGGCCAGACTGCTGCCACAGCCCCCGCCCTCCCACCCCCCATAGTACCCCAGGCCAGGCCAGGCTGGGGTTGGACCAGGTTTCAGGAAAACACAGACCCCCAGAAACGGGCTTAGAAGGGGCAGTTATTTGAAGGCTGCCCTGGCAGGGATCCCACCTGGCTGCCCTTGGAATCACCTGGAGGGCCGGACCGGCATGGACCCCTGGGCCCTGCCTGCCTGGGCAGGTGGCTGGGAGACCACTGAGTTCTCCCGGCAGCCAGCGCGAGCCACTGCCTGATGGTCTGCTTCAGTTTCACTCGGTGGATGTGGATGGAGACCCCGCTGCAGGAGCCTGGGGCTTGGGGCTGAGGAAGGAATAACAGGGGGGCAGAGCCCCATCCTGAAAGACTCCCTCACAGGGAGACGGGGGTCACCGTTACAATGATGAAGCCGCGAGACCTGGTCCCAAGTCCGGGGCTGTGTGACCTTGGATGCTTCACTTCCCGCCAGTGCCCCAGCTCCTTGCCTGTCACACACAGCCTCATCTGCAGGTTTGCCTGAGCTGGTGAGCCCGAACCAGGTGCTGGGGTCACACCTGATCACCTGCCAGCTGCGGTGCAGCAGCTACAGCAGCAGAGGGTCCAGCCTCGCAGACTCCAGGTCTTGATAGAAGTGGCAGCTGTGGGAAGGGGGGCGGGGGGCACGGAGCACAGGCTTCTTAGAGGGAAGAGGGTGAGGCCGACCTCAGAGCCTCGAGAAGTGAGCACACGTTGCTGGGGGAAGTTCAGCCGTGTGTGTGCTCTTTGTTCTGTTCTGGGGACCCTGGGCTGTCCACCAGGGGCAGAAGATGGGGGCAGAGAGCCCATCCTGCCCTCCAGAGCGCACAGGCCCATAGCCATCCGCGTTCCCCTGGGGGAGTTCAAGTTCCGGGAATGAAATAACACCAGTGCCAGAGCGGCAGGCCCCAGGGTCACCTGTCTTGGCTCAGCCTTGACAGATGGCTTGCCCAGCGCTCCCAGAGACCAGGGTGAAGAGCTGCCTGGGCCGTCCTGGGAGCCTACCCTGCATCCCTCCCTCCCTGGTCTTTGTATGCTGGTGCCCAGGGAAGGCGAGGGCCAAGAAGCAGGCTGTCTGGCCCCAAGTGCTAGGTTTGCAACCTCCCACCCGCAGGATGCATGGCCCCTGGCACGTATACAACAAGCATGGACCGAGCGTGATCACAGGCCTGGTACTTGACCTGTAATGTAGGGCCCTGAGGACATCAGGCAGAGTCCTGCCCTCAGAGCCCACAGCCCTGTGAGGGCGAACCAGCCTTGAAGTGTGAACTGTGGTATGATGCCACAAGACCTGGCAGAATGCTGCCCAGCAGGCTTCTCATCCGGGGTGAAATCTGCACTGGGTCTTGAGGGATGAGTAGGAGTTCACAGATGGATGAAGGTCAGAAGCATGTTCCAGGCAGTCACTGTGAACTCACCACCTCACAGAAAATACAGTCAGGGCCAAATACTCCATGTCACCCCTCAGCTTTCTAATATCGTCCCTCTGGGTTACTCAAGCCGGCAGAGAGCCACACAGAGATGGAAGGTGCAAAGTCACATTGTTCCACACTCCTAGGGTAGCCCTGGGGCCACAGACCTCCCCAGGGAGCTTCCTGCTGACCAGCTGTCGCATAGCTCTGCAGCTGCCTTGGGTGTGGCCCTGCCCTCTGTGTTCCGTACCGAGTTCCCTCCAGCCCGACCCTTCCTGAGGAGCTGGACCTGAGTGTGTATGCTTTGGGGACGCAACCATGGACCGATTCAGGGAGGCTCCTGGTTTACACTGAGGACAAGCGGGGGGCTTAGAGTCGTGCACATGTATCGCCCACCAGCTGTAGGGGAGGGGAAGAGGACAGCGGGTCCTGAGTCCGGACAGAGGTTATGGGCCCGAATACGCCCCTCATGGACCCTGGATCTCTTGCCCCCAGTACTGGGCCAGCACCCATCATACCACATACAGGGGCATGTGACAACCATTGGGGGTTTCAGGGAAAGCAGCGTCCAGCTCAAGGTACATATCCGGTGATGCTGCCACAGTGGCCTCTACGTCGAGGGCTCCCTTGGGTTTGGAGCTATTGCATCAGCCCCAGGTGCTGTGACACCAAGGAAATGTTCCCAAGAACAAGTCAGCTGATGACCAGGGCACCCAAAGGAACAGAGATAAGTCAGAAGTAAACAGAGCTGAGAGCCGGGAGCGGATGTGCCCGGCCGGGGGTCACCAGGCCCCTCGTGGACAGCCCTGCCTTTTGGACCCAGACGGCCTTTCTCTGCAGCTGGACGGGCTCCAGCAGGAAGCTGAGGCCTGGCAGCCACTGAGGTGGCACCTGGGTGTGCCTCCACTTGGAGCTGACGAACGCCAGCCCCTGGCCCTGCGCTGTGTCCCAGGAGGACAGCCATGGAAGACAGAGGTGGTCCCTGAGAGCCCCCGGTACAAGCGGGGCAGGACAAAAGCCCAGCAGCTGCAGGAGACCCCGGGGACCCCATCCTCCCCCCAGCCAAGTTGGATAAAAGCCACCGCGCACTTCTTCCCTGTGAATCAAGCCGCTGTCACTGAATGACTTGCAGGTGTGCTGGGTATACAAGCGTGTCCTCCCCAGATTCACGTCCTTCCTGGAAGCTCAGAGCGTGGCTTTATCTGGAACAGAGCTGTTGCAGATGTAAGTGTTTCAGTTAAGACGAGGTCAGGCTGGAGTAGGGTG